TATAGCAATAGAAGCTCACATCAAAAAACAAGAAAGAACTCAAAGAAACAACCTAATCTCGAAGCTCAAAGATCTAGAAAAAGAACAACAAAAAACCCCAGAACCAGTAGAAGAAAAGAAATAATAAAAACCAAAGCAGAAATAAATGAAATTGAAACTAAAAAAACAATCCAAAAGATCAATGAAACCAAGAGCTGGTTCTTTGAAAAAATAAATAAAATAGACAAACCCTAGCCAGGCTCACAAAGGAAAAAGGGAGAAAGCACAAATACACAGAATCATAAATGAAAGAGGAGAAATCACAACGGACACAGCAGAAATCCAAAGAATAATCAGTAACTACTATGAACAGTTATATGGAAACAAGTTCAACAATCTAGAGGAGATGGACAAATTCCTACAACTCTACAATCACCCAAAGCTAGATAAAGAAGAAATAGAACACCTAAACAGACCAATTACAAGCAGCGAAATTGAAATGGTAATTAAAAACCTCCCCAAAAACAAAAGCCCAGGACCTGATGGATTTACAAATGAATTCTACCAAACATTCAGAGACGAATTAGTGCCTATCCTTCACAAACTCTTCCAAAAAATTGAGAAGGAAGGGACAATACCAAACACGTTCTATGAAGCCAATATTACACTAATACCAAAACCGAATAAGGACAACACAAAAAAGGAAAACTATAGGCCAATCTCCCTAATGAACACTGATGCAAAAATCCTCAATAAATTTTAGCTATCAGAATCCAACAATGTATCCATAAGATAATTCACCACGACCAAGTTGGATTCATTCCAGGGGCACAAGGATGGTTTAACATCCGAAAATCAATCAACGTTATCCAACACATCAACAAAAAGAAATATAAAAACCATATGATACTATCAATAGATGCTGAGAAAGCTTTCGACAAAGTGCAACACCCAGTCATGATAAAAGCCCTTGAAATTCTTGGGATACAAGGAACATACCTCAACATCATAAAAGCCATCTATGAGAAGCCAACAGCCAGTATCATTCTCAATGGTGAAAAGCTGAAAGCAATTCCATTAAGATCTGGAACAAGACAAGGATGTCCACTCTCACCACTGCTTTTCAATATAATACTGGAAGTCCTAGCCAGAGCAATAAGACAAGAGAAAGACATCCAAGGAATCCAAATAGGAAAAGAAGAAGTCAAACTATCACTATTTGCAGATGATATGATAATATACATAGAGAACCCCAAAATCTCCACAGAAAAACTAATTCAACTCATCAATCAATTCAGTAAAGTGGCAGGATACAAAATCAACACGCAAAAGTCAGTAGCCTTCCTATACACAAACAATAAATCTGAAGAAGAAGAAATCAAAAAACCACCCCTTTTATTATCGAAACAAAAAAATCAAATATTTGGGAATAAATCTAACAAAAGAGGTAAAGGACCTATACAAAGAAAACTATAAAACACTGTTAAAAGAAATAGAAGAAGACACAAAGAAATGGAAAGACATCCCCTGCTCATGGATTGGAAGAATAAACATTATTAAAATGGCCATCCTACCAAAAGCAATATACAGATTCAATGCTATTCCAATCAAAATCTCAATGGCATTCTTCAAAGAAATAGAACAATTATTGATGAAATTCATATGGAATCACCAAAACCCCGAATAGCCAAAGCTCTACTGAAAAAAAAGAAGGAAATGGAGGCATCACACTCCCAGACTTCAAACTATACTACAAAGCCATAATCATCAAAACTGCATGGTATTGGAACAAGAACAGACATACAGACCAATGGAATCGAATAGAAAATCCAGAAATAAACCCACAGATTTATGGTCAACTAATCTTTGACAAAGGAGCAAAGACTATGCATTGGAGCAAAAAAGTTTGTTCAATAAATGGTGCTGGGAAAACTGGGTCGCTACATGCAAAAGAATGAAGCTTGACCACTACCTCACACCATACACAAAAATCAACTCAAAATGGATTAAAGAACTAGACATAAGACCTGAAACCATAAAATACATAGAAGGAAATATAGGCGAAACACTACGGGATTTGCACATCAAAGACATCTTTACAGACACATCACCCAAAGCAGTGATAGTGAAGAGAAAGATAAACAGCTGGGACTACATCAAATTAAAGAGCTTCTGCACAGCAAAAGAGACAATAACAAAAACAAAGAGAAACCCCACCAACTGGGAGAACATTTTTGCACACAACACTAATGATAAAGGACTGATCACAAAAACTGCAAAGAGCTGATGAGACTCAGCAACAACAAAGAAAATAATCCAGTCAAAAAATGGGCAGAAGAGCTAAAAAGAAACTTCTCTGAAGAGGAAATGCAAATGGCCAACAGACATATGAAAAAATGTTCAACATCACTTGTCATCAGGGAAATGCAAATCAAAACTACCATGAGATACCATCTCACACCAGTGAGAATGGCACATATTAAAAAAACTAGCAACAACAAATGTTGGCGAGGATGTGGAGAAAAAGGAACTCTTGTGCACTGTTGGTGGGAGTGCAAACTGGTCCAACCACTATGGAGAGCTGTGTGGAGATTTCTGGACCTACTAAACATAGAGCTTCCATATGATCCAGCAATTCCACTCCTAGGTATTTACCCAAAGGACACAGAAACATCAATTCCAAAGAGCACCTGCACTCCTATGTTTATAGCAGCACTGTTTACAATAGCTAAGCTTTGGAAACAACCCAAATGCCCAAAAATAGATGACTGGATCAAGAAGATGTGGTACATATACACCATGGAATATTACTCAGCATTCAAAAAAGATAAACACATGCAATTTGCAGCAACATGGATGGCACTGGAAGGGATCATGCTCAGCGAAATAAGCCAAAAAGAAAAAGAAAAATACCGGATGGTCTCACTCATAGCAGGAATCTAGAAAACTTAAATAAGGGACCAGGAAAATGAATATAAGAAAGTGAAAATCAAAATCAACAAAAAACTATGAACCAGAGACACTTTTTGGGGGTGGGGGCGGGAGGGGAAGGATTGGGGTCAGAATGGGGCGCTTGCAATTGTATGGGGTAATATAAAAAAATTTATTATTAAAAAAAAAAAAAATAAAAAAAAAAAAAAAAAAAAAATAAATACTCCTGGAATCACACTACGTCTTGGGTTCTTTATTTGTGAGTTCAGTTGTTGATTTAGATGTTTCTCAAGATACATTCATCAATATCTGGATAAAATTAACCATAATTTTTAACTCAGTTGTCATCTTTGATCTAGTAAAATTGAGTTCTCACATGCAAGGTATTAACTCTTTAAATTGAATCTGCAATACTATCTTTAAGTAATACTTGGAAGACTTTTGTCACTACAAAAAGCATTTGTGGGGTTTTTACCTGGTATTTTATCCACTCCCCATTTCATATGGGTTGTTGATTTCTATGAGGGCCAAGAAATCAAATTTGCTAGAACTCCTCCATCCATGTCTTTTTTTAGCTCAGGTCACTTAAAATTCTAGCCTGCTACCACCATAACAATGCCAACTTTTCTTTTTGAATGAAAACCTTCCTGAATACCATCCCTAAATGTCAATAGTATTTTTCCTGACTCCTACACAGAGCTGACAGCTTCCCTGGATGAAAGACACATAGAAATGTAGATATATATTGAAATATATTATTTCTCAGTGTCTAAATCAAGAGTAAGAGCTCAGGCCTATATCCTAAGACTATTATAATTTTAATGAAATATGCTGCAAATAAAGAAAAGGACAAAGAATGAACAGCTGTTTTTATATTTCACATGAAATGTCAGCAACATTATTCAATTCTTGAATTCAAGAATTCATATGCCTTTCAAGATACCAAACATAATTAATACAAATTGCTAACATGTACCTTTGCCAGGTATGCTTTCAAAACTACTTGAGTACTAAGTCTTAATTTTATTCATAATTACTTCAAGCAGGTATCTTTATCTCTCTGAAGAACAGAACCGAGATATAGAGAATTTAAATAATGTGACTAGGTCAACACAGCCAAAAAATGGCAGAGGTCAAATCCAAATCCTAATGTCTTTGCCACCAGTCCATTGTTAGAAAAATAGGGCACTCTAAAAATATAAAGAAGCAAACATTCCACTTCATTCCTCTTCCACTCATAAGAACTTTTCCATACTGGCTTTTCATATTCTTACATTGTCCAAGTTAACAGTGAAAAGCAAGTGTCCAGAAAGCAGTCAAAAGTAGTCCATCACTGGGCCTCCCTGGTGATGAAAGTGGTTAACTCTCAGCACCATAAAGCACTATAAAGCCACAGCAGCATGAGTTCAATCCCCCACCAGAGAGCTACCCACATGGCACAGCAGATCTCTCCTGTCTTGCCCGCTGTTCCCCTCAGCAGTGTATTTCAGTAGATCTGCCTGTTATGCTCCCCACTCTGTCTCTGGTGAATCCTCTCACCCCTCACATCTCTGGCCTACAACTCAGCTCTTGTATGCCTAAATAAATAAAATAAATCTTTTTTTTTTTTAAAAAGTAGTCCATCACTGAAAATACAGAAGACTCCTATGACCCTCGCCCCCGGCCCCGACTACAGCCAAGTGCAAATCTACCAGGCAGCACCCACCAAGCTAGAAAAATCAAACTTTTTAACATGAAAATGCACTTTCTCACATCATTCTTCATTGCATCCCAATATCTCTAGTAAAAGCTAAAATCCTCTCAGATAAGGAGTCAAAGAAAAGGAGAAATTATCACCACCCAGACCTCTTCATTGCATTTGCCTCTATTCTTACAAATAAGCTGAGTAAGTTATAGAGCTTGTCCTAAATTTAGAAGACTCTTTTAACAATTCAAATTTGTCTATATTGAAGTTTAAAAAGGGCAAATAAAACATCTTACACTCAAAAAAGAACATAAAACAAACAAACAAAAAGATTTAACTGTGCACTAAATCAGTTGCCTTTCATTTCATGAAAAAATATCGATATAGAAAATCACTAATTATTTACCTGTAGTATGCAAGGCCAGTGACTCCTGAAATAAAATTCGTGTTTTTCTGTGCCTTCAAAATCCCTTTCTAAGGCATATTTTCTTTTGATGATGTTATGTTCCTCAAGGTAGTTTATACAAAGAAAGCTGATCTTGAGATGCGGACATGAATACAAATCCTAACTGAACTCATACGCCAACATCCCCCTAGAGAAAACATTTTGGGATTCAGTATTCTCACAAGCAAAATAAAAATAATAGCACTCACTTTAAGAAGGTAGTTAAGACCACATATTTGAAAGTGACTGCTTAATAACTAGCAAGTAACAGAGGCTTAAATGCAGTGATTACATCTCAGACCGTCCTTACACACCAATTCACTACTTTCAACAAATTATTTTGTTATTCAAAAAAGGCTTATTCAATGATCCCTGTGGGTCACTCACAAGGTGTAGGATTCCTAGGAATAACTTAAATGGATGTGTCTTAGAATATTTAAGCACTACACTTGCACCAGGTGCCCAGGAAGAGAATCTTCTGTTTAAGATGCACCCCTGTGGCCCAATGTGATGGATTAATGGTCACAGAGGGACACAAGGAGTCAGAGGGCAGATGGGGAAGGATGTCCTTCCTCTCCTGAAAGTCCTCGACTTTGGAAACATTGATTCTTCTCACTAAATACCGCGTGCGCCTGTCAGACTTCTTAGAGTGGGACTAATCTTCCGAGGGAATAAGGGTATAAATATAGAGAGCCTGCTCAGGGTTTTGTGGGTGGCTGTGCCAGGACCCCAAACCCACATGGTCAGGGCTAGACTGAAAGAGACCCTGAGCCTGCTGGATGCGTCCCTTTCAGAATGTGTGGGACTTAGAGATGTTATGATGATTCTTGATTCTTCAGAGTACATGGGAAAATAGGGCCAGAATTCTGGGCCATTCTGAGTCTGTTGTAGTTCTTCCATCGGGTGGAAGCTTTGCTATAGGGATCATAAGAAAGATATTCAGTTTACAAAAACAAAACCATGTACAAAATGAATAGCTCTCCATTTTCAACTGGTTTCTGGAATAATATAGTCTGCAAATTGCATTTTATATTTCAGCATACCAAAAGCTTGTTTATGACTATCTCCTATCAGAAACTTCTCTGTGTGGCTCAGTAATCTCAACTGGCATGAGAGGAAGGTCAAGTCCTTTAAAATATCATCCAAGAGAGGAGATGGTTTCCTCAGATACAGACTTGGTTGCTACTCAGGAGGGTCTGTTTAGCATTCAGCATGTGTGTATGGGCGCACTGAAACATAAGTATCAACAGCTTGCATGTGTCACCTTGCTGGTCTTGAAATAAAGTTAAGAATAGAGCGAGATTAAAGCGAGGAATAGATGTACTTACAATTTCTGAGTCAAGTTATATGAAATAGTTGGCTGTATCTCTTCAAGATGTCAGAGGAGATCTATATTCATAAGGTCTTGCTTGAGGGAATTCATTTAGTTATTAGTTAATGCTATTAACAGCCAATAACCAAATTCTATTTGTATGAAAGCCTTTACACAATTCCTAATTTAATCTACACCAACCCTTTGAAGTAGATGCTAAGGTTATGCTTATGTAAGAAGAAGGTAAATAAAGGCACCGAGGAGCCAATGGCTATGAAGGTCACACGGAGGTAGACAGTGAGTTCTGTGGCCTTGAGAACATCTGTGAGCTTCCCTTGTGGAGAGCAGCATATTTTGTAGTAACAGCACCATTGTGATGCAAACCAGGCCATCTGACCACAGAGTACAAGTCCACTGCTCTTCATCTCTGTGGCAGATCCAAACAGCATCCCCTCAGCTGGGGAAGCTGCCATCATCGTTGTGTATCTAGCTTCTCCTGCCATCTGTCACACTGTCAAATGGCGCAACCTCAAGGATACCCCACTAAGCTGTCTCCCACTGGAGAGCTCTCTCCACTGCTCCTTGGGGCAGCATGCTAAATGACCAGACTCCCCAGGCAGCCAAGCCATCATTTATCCAGTCCTGCCACCTCCAATGTTCCCCAAGTCCCTCCAAATATTGTTGCACACTCAATATGTCCTAGGCACCTAAGTGTTAGGTATCAAAATATCAATTAAACACACACACAAAAAATCCTAGTCTTATGGACTTTGTATTTTGGTGATTACACAGTAAAAACCTTTAATAGATTTATAATGCTATGATACAATTTATTAAGTACTAGGAAGAAAACAAAAGCTATGTAAAGAAATAGAGTAAGGATATGGGAAAAACACTCTTTGAGGTTGAATATTTGTTTTGTTTTAAAGATTTATTTTTATTTATTCATGCATACAAATACTGGGGCATAAGCCAAAGGTGTGAGGGTTGAGAGGATTCACCAGACAGAGTGGTAAGCAGAACAGGTGGATTGACTGAAATGGGTGAGACAGCAGAGGTCTGCGGTGCCATGTGGCTTAGCTCCCTGGCCAGGGATCAAACTCATGCTGCAGTGGCTGGTGATGGCTTGATAGTATTGAGACTTAACCCCTGCGCCACCAGGGAGACCCTGAGGTTGAATATTTGTACAAAGAAAAGAAGTGAGGCTCAAGGTCACCTAGAGCCAAAGACCTCTGGGAAGAAAGGAGCAATTTTCTTGAGGAAAATCAAGGACAATTCACTAGAGCTGAGTGAGTAAGGGGCCCATGGCAGGAGGTGAGGTTGCACACATGGGATCTTGCAGAGCATTATAGTCGGTGGCATGCAACTTTTTATAGTAAACATAGCAAGGCTTTCTCTTCGCCATCTGGGATAATTGGGGAGAGTTTCAATTAGTTTCCAATTCCATTGCCACCAAGATAAAAAGAGAAAGGGGTGGGGCTAGTCTCACTTCATTTTATGCCATAACCTATAGTCTACACAATGAGGTTCAATTTAATTTCCTTCTTTCCTATAATTACCATTTGTGTTAATTTTTTCTAATGTGAAAATCACCTTTTATTTTGAAAGTATACAATTTTTCTATTAGTTCTCAGTAACTTAGAGAATGCTGGCTTCCCAAAAAAATACAACTAAAACAAACTGTTGACAAGATAAAGCTGATTGTATTGCTTTTCAAGGTGAAAGCAATTATATTGATAGAATCTTAGTAGCTTCTTAAAAAGTGGAGGATAAAGTTGGAATATTTGTGAGGTTTGGAAGCATGATTTAAAGTGGATCTTTTATTGTGGGAGCTTTAGCACGATTGGATAAGGGGCGTGCTGTAACAGTCTCCAGGAACACAAAAGAAGTAGATTTTTTTTAGACAAGTATTTCAAACAGTAACGACAAGAAAAGAGTAATTTGAGGGGGTAGGGGAAGGAATGATTGAAAATTTGAATGTCTAACATTCATTTAGATGTCTTTTGGAAGAAAGGGTAGTTCCTGGGGTGGGGTGGGGGGTGAAACTCAACTATTTGCAACTTTTGTCTTCTTGAGTAAAAGTTTCCAAGAATAGTAAAGTGATATTACTGAAGACAACTAGACAGTACAGTTTTGCTAAGGTAGATAGTAAGTTGTATAGGTAGAAGTGATTTGGGTTCAGGCCACCCTGGGGGCTCAGAAGTTAGTCTCAGTGCTATCAAGCTATTACCAGCCACTGCAACATGAGTTCAATCCCAGGCCAGGTTGCTGACACACATGGCACAGCAGACCTCTCCTGTCTCACCCGCTGCTCCCCTCAGCAGTGTATTTCCGTCAATCTGCCTGCTCTGCTCCCGAGTCTGTCTCTGGTGAATCCTCTCACCACCATCCCCACACACCTCTGGCCTACACCTCAGTTCTTGTATGCATAAATAAATAAAAATAAATCTTAAAAAGTAAAAAGAAATGGTTTGGGTTCTCAAATTCTTTTAAATTTTGACACTTCTGATTCAATTAGGGTTAAGGTACCAAAATTGTGCTAACAACTTAGGCTTAAAGAATTTAAATAACTTGTATAAGGCCAATTAGTTTCAGCCTATATTTTTAGGTAATAAAATTTAGCCAACATGAAAAATTCTACTTGCATTTTGTACCCTCTATAGAAATTCTTTTTATCATCAAATCACTACTGGCTTGAGTGAAATGCTCACTCATAGTTCAATATATCATATGTTAGATATTGTAGTACAGCTAATTTTATAAAACATCATGCATGTATATGGTCTCTGGGTTAATGTAATCATAACAGACTTCTTTACAAATGGCCCACAAACTCTTAAAAGTAATTCAAGGTGTCTGTATTTAATTTATTTTGAATCACAGTCTGGTACACATGATAGGATGCATGAATAAGCACATATAACACTTTAACATGAATGTGTCAAAAAAATTTCAATAATTTACTTGCTTACTAAATGAGTGATGATTCAGAAGACTGTTCTGGATAGTGCATTACCAGAGGGACTTCATAACTACTGTACATTGATAAATCTGCACAATAGTTTTTTGCTACATGTAACTTACTTTTTACTTATTAGGCTGTACTATGCCTTAGTACTCACTCAGAAATAATTTGCCATCATACTTGCATATGACTAGGATTGCTCCAACTTCTATTTTCAAAGTTCACTTTTTCTTCCACAACTATTATTCTAATATTAGATTTCTATTATTGTTATTCTATTCTAATATTAGAATAATATTCTACTATTGAATGCTTTCATCATCATTGTATTATTGAATGATTTCACCATCTCTTTTTTTAAAGATTTATTTATTTATGCATACAAGAACTGGGGACAGGTCAGAGGTGTGGGGGGTGAGAGGATTCACCAGAGACAGAGTGGGGAGCAGAACAGGCAGATTGACGGAAATACACTGCTGAGGGGAGCAGCGGGTGAGACAGGAGAGGTCTGCTGCGCCATGTGGGTAGCTCCCTGGCCAGGGATTGAACTCTGCTGCAGTGGCTTGGACAGCCTCATAGGTTGCATCTTACATCCTTGTGCCATCAGGGAAGTCCCCAGAGGATCTCCTAACTATGATATTTTATTGTGGATTCTGTCCTTCAGAATGTATCTATTCTTTGCCACATTAATGAACAAAATAGAAAGTGGAATTCTAGATGAATCAGCCTTGCAAATATTCTTTCTATAGCTGTAGGAAATTCATCAAATTTTCAGGCAGAAAAAAGTTGGGAAAAAGGAGAGAAACTATTTTGGAGAATATAATTTTTCAAATCTGTGACTTACTCTTTATTATTTCTTTCTTGTAACATTATTCTCATTTCCTACAGCTCTTCTTTGAAAACTCATATAATGTCCTCACAGAGATGAGATTTCCTTCTCCTCAGGGTTCTGAGAATAGCAACCTCTCAATCCATTTACACATATATCCCAAAGCTTAATTTCTAACTATTACTACATCTTTTCCTATTGCTTTAGTATAATCACCCCATCCTAATAAATCTAGTTTCCCCTCTATCTCTCACCTTTAGAATTAATTTATTCTTTCGAGGGAGGGAGGAGAATAACAGACTTTCTTGTTGATCACATTTCCTCTTGAATATATTAAAGAAAAATCTCTGTCAATGAAACTTAGATTCTCTTTCTTTAGAATCATTAGCTTCAGAACTGGTCTGTACCCATCACCCCTGGAGGAAGACTAAGGAGCATTTCCTCAGGACTTGCTCTCTGCCACAAATCCATCACCACTACCATCCTACAAGCCAGGGTCATTTTTACATTTCAAAAATGATTTCCACATTTGCTTCAAAAGATAGTATCAACATTCTTTCCACTATTTCTTTTGCTAACTACAGCTACAACCATTTCATGGGTATATAGATAAAACTAGCACAAGGAGACTCGCAAAGTTGGAGTTCAAGGAATGATAGGGGGGTACATTCCAGAGTTTTCCTTTTGCTTCTACCCTAGACTGTGTTCCAGAAAAGACAGAAACCTGAAAACACTCATAAACAGAGGCAAAAATGAAATAAGATAAATCACTCAGAAAAGCCTGCTCTTTCAAGTCAAAGAACCAGAAAATGGCAGCCTAGCAAGTCAGAGCACTTTAAGGCTTGCTTTTTAGTCAAATGTCTCAGAATAAAAACTGTGCTCAATGGAGCAATTAGATTTCCACCCTCAGTGGGTTGTAAAAAGGTGTGTTAACACACCACAGAGTGGTCTCACACAAAGCCAAGTTGGGAGTTGCTATTTATATCCCCACCCAAGAGTAAGGAGGTGGCCCCATTCAACATGGCATCAGAGGAAGCTCAAAGGAGCATCAGGACTTTCAACACAACTCACTGAGAATATGCTGATGAGAGATTATTATTAGTGATAATGGTTTCAGCTAGGGCTGCACAGGGAGCGATGTACCTTCAGCTCTCAACTTTCCATGGATGAAGGTTGATGGAGGTGGGGAAACCCACCCCAAGCCCACGCTGCACTATTGAGGACTTTTACTCCTTCTTCGCCTAACTCACAGAGACTTGGACTTCCACCCCTTCTTGCCAGTAATGAGGCAACAATCTATAACCCTTTCAAATAAGACATCTAAAATACAAATCCTAAATAAGACATGGAATTACATAACATAAAGCCCTAAGTTTCAGTGGAGAAACCACTGAAACCATTTGTCACACTAAGAACCAGGAAAATCTTATCTTGAATGATAAAAACTACAGATACCAGCTCCAAGATGATTCAGATAGAATTATCTGACAAATTTTAAAGCAGATATCATAAAAATA